TAAAATGTTTAGATCAAATCATAAAGAACAAATTGAAACGAAGAAAGCATATGCGTCTAGCTAGATTCTGCTAGCAAATGGGATGCTACATTCATAGAACCTCATAAAACCATATGAATCAATTGCATAAGTAATTAGAGAATGAATATATCAATAGAGAATGTAGATGTAAATTAAGAATATTCACACGATGTAAAATATAGCTATTCCTCAGTCCATTTTAATTGATATGTTACGCTTAGTACCGTAAGTTATTATTTTTTACATATCAATATATGATGAAAAAGCACACCGTAAAATATTAGTCAAACTTCTTATATTTAACTCTAAAAAATAATAACAACGAAAAGTAGATGAAGGGAGTACTATATTAGAAAACTCTTTACGAACTAGAGAATGATATCTCAATTCACTAATAAAAATATAAGAAAATTCATTGAAATTTATACACAAGAAAAATAAAAAATTTCACAGAACATAATATTAAAAATTGGTGTAGTCTGTAAATATATATATATATATATATATATATATATATATATATACACACACACACTATCCCATCAATAATAAACCACAATAAAAGACCACCATATCTTTTTCTTTTCCATAAAAAAAAAATATTTCCCTGTGTTACTGACTTTGCTGTTATATACATGTAAATGTGTTTGTTACTGCAATATTCTCCCCTATACAATTTGTTTCTCCTTACTATTTGGATTATTTTTTAAATATTTAAATTATTTATGTGACAAAAAATAATTTCTGTAGTTTCTAAATATGTAAATTTTATTTTTTAAACAATTAAAAATTCTATATTTAAATGCACACTAAATATTATTTAGTTTGATCGTCGTATTTAGAATTAAGCTAAATAAATTTAAAAAAAAGTTGAAGTTTAGCAAAATAAAAAAAAATTATATACTTTATATTATTTTAATAAATTTTATGTTTCTGCCACAACTTCTACGAAGCTTCAATTTGAGCCTTTGGATTTTCTTTCAATCAATCGCCGCATTAATCATACGTACTAATACTAAGTAGAGGACAAGAATGGCAGCATATTATATTTCATGAACAACCACATAAAGCACAGATTATTCTATAAACATTATATTAAAATACACTCACTATATATTGTTGTGTCTTTCAAACACAAGAATAAATTAATTTATTAGGAACGTAACGGTTAGGAGGGGCCAGGAAGGACTTTGCTTGTTGTTATAAGAACAAAAAAAGTCTATGGTTAAAGCAAAGTTTTCAACAAAATCAAACCTAACAAATTAAATGCCTTTAATTCAAAGTCACATCAATAGTTGATTGGTCCCTAAGTTAATCATTGGTTTTGCTCTACACATGCCCAAAATGACCATTCCAAAGCTATCATCAATGTTACGTAGAATGTTAAAATTAAAAAGTTATCAAAATAAAAAATATATATATATATTTTTTCATTTAGACAGATTGAAAAAGGTAATACAAACAATTCTTTTTAATCATGCCTCCCTAAGAGTTCCTATGCATGCATATTTTTGCTTTCTTAGTGATTTGAATTCACAATCTTAGAATTAGAAGCGAGAGATGTTTATCTGAATAACTCACCCTTGTTTATAACGGACAAATTAAGACGAAAAAACTATAAAATTTTTATTATCGATAAAGTAAATGTGCATGCCTATACATATATACAAACAACTTGTATATGATGATTGGTGTATATAATACAACTTGTAGAAGCTAGCATGCATGAACTCGGTGGATTACAAGTTCCAATATCAACAAACAATCTGTATGCTATATATACATGTATCAAGTCTATTTTGGATCCGGCTCCTCTCCATTTTTCTTCTCTCCATTTTCTTCAAGTTCTTTATTTGGATTAATGACACGTGTCATAGGTTAAAATAAATGGTTAAAATTTAATTTTTCAAAGTTAACCTCTAATTATGATTTTAATTAATAAATACATTATATGTCAAGTATTAAAATTATTATAATCTCACAATTTTAGCAACATATTATCTTGTCCATAAATATAGAAAAAAAAGGTTTTATTCCTTTTTTCTTATCGTAGGATCCTTTTTTTTCGTTTATATAAAAAAAAATTTATTGTAATATTTTGTTAAAAACATATTGATTCGTTATTAATAAATTACCTAGTGATAATTAAACCATTTTAATAAACTAACTTCAATTTCATAATAAGAATACAAATACGGTGATACCAGTACATAAGATAGTTAATTATAGTTTCTATACTTCTATTCAGTTAATTAGATAAAAAGATTATTTTAAAAAAATCTTACGTATAAAAGAAATTTAGGAAGAAAATGTTTGTTCCCTATATTTATGGACAAGATAATATGTTGCTAAGATAGTTATATTATAATAATTTTTAATACATAATATATGATGTACTTATTAAATCATGGTTAGAAATTTACTTTGGAAATTAAATCTTAACCATTTCTTTTAACCTATGTGTCACTAATCCAATAGAAACTTGGGGAAATGAAGAAAAGCTGCATCCGTCTATTTTAATTGAAATCGGTTATAAGGATTTTCAAAATATATTAAAATCAAATAAAGCTATGCATGCTTAAGATCATGGAATATGCTAATATTAGACGGCAAACATTTAATGACACTATCAAAATTTTATTTATGTTTATGTTGGGTTTCATTTATTCGGCAAAGAATAGACAAAAGGTGTACTCTTATATCTTATTTATGTGTATTATGATATATTATATTAACATTATGTTACAAAAATGTCTCGATCCAAAATCTCATTAAATCGTTTGTTGGTATTGTTGTTGTCCCGCAAAAGCATGAAAACGTTATGGAAAATTCCACAACAAAACTAAAAGAATGAAATAAGTTGGCCCAAACATATATAGCAGTGGGCAGGAAACAGGGGCAAGTGGGGGACTACATGTATAATTAGGTACCGAGCGCGTTAGTGATTTATTCGAACTCTTTTAATTTGATGAAAAATTATATTATTTATATATATTTAAAATTATATTAATATAATTGTAATAGAATATTAAATTTCTTAAAACTTTTTCATGTGTAGACTTTTTTATATTTTGAACAACTTAATAAAAATTCAAGACTACTCTATTAGCTGAGACAATAGCCACACTACAAGACAATAAATCAACAATGCCAGCATTTAATTAGTAATTAGTTTGTCAATAAATGATTTACAAATGATGAACAAACACTCTTCTATCTTAATGAAGAGATTTTTGAGATTGTATTCTTTGAATATGAAGTTATTTTATTAGAAAATATTTTACCCTCAATATAATATTTTTCTACGTGAATCCAAATTTAATCTTAAAAAGTGGAACAAACTTCTCTTTCGATGTTTTGTTTTGCTACAGAAATTGGAATATATTTGGGGCCAAATATATGTCAGCCAACAAATTAAATGTGAAGCCATTAATGCGGCTACATGATTGGAGAGAAAAATGTATTCCTATATAATTGATCATGATTACCTAATGTTAGACAAATTTAAATCAAAGTTGTAGCTGGCAACAATTAGCTTTCATATATGTATAGTACTTTTCTTGATCATAATTCATAACCTATATCACTAGACTAATTACATATTAAAATGTATAATTTGAATTTTATGAGACTAAAATTCTAACCATTTTAAAGTACTAATTCTGAATCAATAACTTATATTTTATTAAATAGTTCCTTTTAAAAGATAAATGTCATTTTTGGATCAAAATTATTCAGTTCAGTAAAATTTGTAGTCTCCGACGGATATAATATATTAGTACTCATTATATATGATAATAGATGAGTGTGGAAATAATTAAAGTTTTGATAAATTTATAGAAAGTAGAAATCTAAAAAAGATGGATATTTTATATGTATTTGAATTGAAATAGGAAAGAAAATAGAGGGATATGAGCTAGGTCGATTAATTAGAAAATACTTATTGTTGCTACTTGTTAGCTGCCAACCTCTCGAAGCTATCATGCGTAAGAAAATAGATCGACTATCGAAGATATTTTATATTATTTTGCCTACATTGATTTTAACACAAGTAGGTGAGTTATTTCAAATATTTAATAATTTCTAAACCCTTAAAATTGATAAATTAATGTGAAGGTATATATCAATTAACTATAATTATGTCATAAAATGTTATTTTAATTATCTTGTAGTGTTATTATGCGTGTTCATAGGTCGGAAATCACTTATAACCAATTTAATAGATTTTTAAATTATTAAAATTAAATCAGACCAAATATAATATACATTCATCAGTTTGATTGCTATCGATTTTGATTTAATTGTTAGATATGAATCATACACAATAAAAATAATAATGATTCACTCAAAAGAAAAAGAGAAAAGACAACAATTCATTCGTAAGAAAATCAATTATCTTTGTGCCATGAAGAACTCCAATTATGTTTACTCCTGCTTATTTAATATATTAAAACAAACATAAACTTGCATAAACTATCAATCGCACAAATAACACATCATATCTTATTCTTTTTCTTTATAACACTGCAATTTTTCCCATAATATACAAATAATATATTATGTATATATAATCATAAAAATATATGTATATAATTTATTTGTACGATTCAATTGAGAAATATCATTATCAAAATCAAATTCAAAATAATGATTATTAATTTTTTAAAAATCAAATCAAATAAAAAATAACATATTAAAATAATTTTTTATTCGAACCGCGAATAAAACCATGTATAAGCTATTTGTTGTTTTTCCCTGATTGCGCAGCGTACAAGGCGTGTGTCCCACCAGTTTGCACCGCCCACAGAACATATGCCAGCCTTAGCCCTTAATTAGGAGTTGGACTTGGTCACTTTGGGTCCCATTAATTCATTTCGTTATTTCCACTCAAAACGCGTTACTTTGAGTTCACTCTCATTTCTCCAACTTCTTAGCTGTGCATTATTTTAAATGTATGTATATATAGCATTATACATCTCCACACAACTACATCAAAAAAAAGCTCATAAACATTGAACAAAAAGCAAAAGAGATTATCCAAAAGACAAAAGTGCATACACTTTCTCTTTTCTTTTTCAAGTTTGTTATCTTCTACGCTTTTTAAACTACAAGCTGCAAAGATGCAAGAAAAGTCGAAAATGCAGAGGAAGAGATCATTGGTTGCTCGTAGAGCTTGGAATGTTCTCCGACTAGCCTTGTTATGGGCGAGAAAAGGTGGCATTTTCAAGAACAAACACCTTGTGGATCTCCGTTTGCTTCCTAAATATTTTAAAAGTCTTCGTCATACCAATGATCACTATGGGACACTGCATTATGGGGAGCGTGAGTTTTCCTTTGATGACACCCCTGTCTTTCATGTTAAGATGCATCGTCCTGCTTCCTTGCGTTTCAAGATGCCTAACATTCCCTGCATTAAACCTCAAGTCGACTTTGACTTTGACTTTGAGCGCGAGGATGAAATGTACAATGATAACAATAATAATAATAATGATGACGACGCTCCTTGGAAGAGCTTCTTGACGACTGAATGTCAAGAGGATGAGTATATGTATGAGGAGATCGTTGCTAGTGGCGATGATGAAGCTATTGATAGGAAGGCAGATGAGTTCATTGCGAAGTTCTATCAGCAAATGAAGCTGCAAAAACAATTGTCGTATCTACAATACCATGAAAAGCTCGCTAATTAATGGAGGAGAGAGCTGCAGACGTTCATTATTTCTTGTATCCAAACCTTGCATTTGTATTCTCTCTGTATAGGACATTTTTGTAGATAGATGAGGTATTCCATTCAAAAAATGCAAAATAAAAATGTATCAAAGTTCGAGCTGATATTTATTTGGATTATTTTTCTTGGTTTCTGATTCAATTTTGAAGTTTGTTGAGTGAACATTGTATTTCTTATAAGAAGGTTCGTTCAAACTATAGAATCCATGCTGCAAGGGCTTTTACACTCCAACATGTTTTCATGTTTCAAAGTTTCTGGCTGTAATACAATCAGTTTACCAACATTTTGGTCACTCATTGTATCATAAATAAAACAAAATGACATAATTTCACAACATAATCGGGTTTCCATTGAGTCTGATCTGAATGAGCAGTAAATGTATAAAGCACTGCCAACCTCTAAACAATTCTTAATTTTGAAGGGGGGAAAAAAGAACAAAAATGAGGTGACAACCCAAATGCAGTAGAGAACTAAAGCACTCAAACTATATCTTCAAAATTATCTATCGTCAACAAGGTTGGCGAATAACAAGAAGATGGGTATCAGCTAAGCCACTTCCAAATGATTGACAGCCATAGCACGCAGCTTCATACTTGAGGGGGCTTTGTGTCGACAGGCAGAACAAAAAATGTGCATCCACATTAATCTCACGACAAGCTTAAGAGAACGGGGAGGTTCACACCACAAAATCAGATTACCTGCAATCAAAATCACAAGCTAGATTCAATTATTGGAAAGAAATTAAGCATGGGACGGAAATCAACCAGGAAAACATTGCTTGGACACAGGAGACCCACTAGACCACTAATTTCGAATTTTACTTTACCCCCCTTTTCCATCAATTTCCAGTGAAAAAAATTGTTCAATTTGCATAGGGGATACTTTCTGAAACTTCATGTACCTTGTGAGCAAAAAGTTATCCAACTAGTTAGCGCTGATGTTTTGCCTATATGCTTCCATTCTGCTGACTCCTGACGTAAGCTTCTAACTGTCCTGTTGCTGCCATGATAAGACCTACAGTACAATGAGATTTATAAGTTATTTCTTCTACTGCTGGTAATGGTCTCACATCATCAAATTAAAAAAAACAACTTGCAAACTCGTAGAATCCTGTTCTGGTACTGCAATGACGCAGTTCCATCATACAATGTAGCTTCTCTGTACTACTAGTCCTAGGGCCACATACAGAAATCAACCAAGAAACCCCTGATGAGAAAAGAAGAAGATATCCCGATCTCTAACAACTATTATGCCTCAATCCAAATAAAAATAAGTTAAACACACATAGATAAGTAATAACAATAATATTAGAAGTTCTATAACAAGACTTAATCCTACTCTCCACTAGTAGATATCACCTATATGAATCTTTTTCTTTTACTGTTTTCTGCATTAATCACGAGAAATTGTAGGTCTTTCACGATAATTTCCTTCCAAGTGATTTAGGTTTATATCACACCTTCACATGCATTATACTGATGGCACTCCATTATATCACAAACAATGAGAAAAAGGAACACTGCTAAAACAATATGGACAACTGCAAAAATGATGACTTTGTCATCTTAAATAGACTATTACATTTTGACTTAGCTGCATTAACACAATCCATTCACAGAAAATGATTCCAGAAACACTAAAATGCAACACCACATGCATGATATATTGCATCAAGTTTGCAGGGTCATATTATAAGTTTATATCAAAACCGAAGTCACAACCGACTAATTCCTACCTAGAAAAGGAGCTGAAGGCCTCCCTGGCCTTGACTTGTATTCAGGATGGAATTGCACACCAACATAAAATGGGTGACCAGGAAGCTCCAATATCTGCATAAAGAATAAGAGGATGAGAAACGGGAGAAATGTTTACAAGCAATAACAAGAATAAAAGCAATGAACTTAAAGTGAACCAATAATCACAGTCTAAAACTAAAGGATTGTAAACAATAATTTTCACCAAATAACAGCAATTAAAGCATGTAGTCCAAAATCAAACCTCCATTCGTTTTCCAGTTTCATCTCTTCCCACAAATGTAAGGCCAGCTTCTTCTAAAATGCCTACAACTTCAGGATTGACCTGCAATATACACCACCATTTTATTCCACGAGGATGACAGCATAATCAATGCAACAAGTATAGGCTTATGCTAACCTCATATCTATGGCGATGTCTTTCATCCACATGCTTAGAATTGTTATACCTGTCCAACAGAAAAGATGTTAACTCTGCATAAGGGAAAACACAAGAATTTACAAGAAAAAATTTCTGTTCTTTGACAGGTAATAATATATTAGAAAAGCATCGACTGGACATGCAACCCATAACTAGAGAGCAAAAAAAAAACAAGCCAGTACAGATCCACCAAAAAACATCTTAAATCTTGTATCTAAACTACTCTTAGATGGGTGAACGAGAACAAGCTAGTATCTCAATTAGAGCAAATGGGTGAACTATATGATAGGCAACCCACAAACAAGCCTGCAATAAGATCATATCATATGCCCCTGATACAGAGATGACGCGTAGAAATCGGCAATGCTAGACTTAGAGCCTGATAGAATTGACTTAAAAATTGGTAAAATCTACTTTTAATTCATTCTTAGCTTTGGGGAGGCTTTGGCAAAGTTCAAAAAAAAAACTTAAAATAAGTTTAAAACGACTTGAAAAAATTGAAACTAAAAGTAGGACTGCCCCTACATTTATTTTTCGACTTAAAAGTCATTATAGTTTGACTTTTTTTTATAATTAAAAGTTACATTTTTTTAAGCCAATCCAAACGGGCTTTTAGTTCAAATCCTTGAACTCCATAGAAATCTAATTGATCAAATCTGGTCAAGACACTGTTACAATGAATACATGGCATTTGATAACGTAGAAGTGTGTGAACATATATCTCTTACAACTTTGACATGATACAATCAGGAGTCCGGAAGAGTGTTTTCCTAGATCCAAGCCTCATAGTGCTTCCCATATGTGTTTTTGACCCCTGCATTTTTTTTAAAACCATGATATCAGAAAAGCATAAACAGAGATATATATAAATGAGACAAATACGGTTTCATCTCTTTGAAATATTGAAAAGAGCACACTACCTCAGGCATGAAAATTACAACAAGGTCCGGCGTCTGGGAGTCAAACTCTTCACTATTTGCTTTCTCCAAACCCAAAACCTGCAAAATTCAGAAGATATAATGCCACATCAAAGAAATGGTTAACACAAAATATTCAAATTAGACGTCGAAAAAATCAACTTACAGATCTGGCAAACTCGATTACAGAAATCTGCATCCCTAAACAGATTCCAAGATATGGTACGTTATTTTCCCTAGCATACTTTGCAGCCAATATCATCCCCTTGATCCCACGATCACCAAACCCACCAGGAACCAAGACACATGCTGCACCCTGTTAAGGTTGTTGGTGTCATCTCAATAGCTTGTAAAATGAGTTATAGAGTACTTTATCAAGAAAATGAGTTATACAGTAACAGCTGAGCGCCTCGAATGAAATAATCAGAAACGGTAAGTAGCAGCATAAGATGCGCTCAAACATTTATGTGATCTTAATAATCATAAACATATTTGAGGATAGACCGGTTAGCTAGACTGCCAAAAGCCTTACTGCAGTGGCGCATATTCACATGCATTTTGTAAAGAAAATAAACATTGGGCTTTACTTAACCCTAAAAGCTATAGGTGAGGATTGTCCAAGACTATTTATGGAGACAACAGTCCATTCCCTCAACCAAATTGGCATACTTAACACATCTCAAGCGAGCAATCATGCATACATACCATACGAAAACCATAACCACCACACTAGAAATGATACACCAGAAAAAGAAAAAAGAAATGAGAAATACTGCATTGACAGATGATTCATCTCTCAAAATGCACATGTTAAGAATCCATCATCAAAATTAATTAACTTCTCTTACAACTTAAAAGGATGGTCTTCTAATTCATGTCTAAGAGGGAACTAACACTCTGACACTAAAGAAGCAAACAAGAATGATGAATGACATAATTATTGCTACTAAGCACAGATCAAATTTTACCTTTAGAGTCTTCCAGGCTGTTGCATAAGCTTCTGGGGTCTGATAGATAAAAGAGAAGATAATTACGATCAGAAACTCAAAACAGAACCTAACTAAAAGTAGAGAGAAATCTAAGTACCGATTGAGCACTATCATCTTCAAGATCTGATGCTGCAATCCAGTCAATGGATGGCTTCAATGAACATGCAACACATGCATGCAGAAGGGCCTAAAAATTATGAAGAAAAATTACAAAACCGACAAGTCAATATCATAACATAAATGAACATCGGATAAATGCATGCAGGAGGGCCCATAAATACGCAAAGAAGCAAGGGAAGATAAAGAACTAACAGCTAATCACTCATAAGCATGTTTCTTCTATTTCGAAACTAGAAAGCACGACAATTAGCACAGTGCCATGGGAAAAGCTACTTTCAAAGAAAAGTCAAAGCTATACTCAAATGCTAAACTCTATCATGATCGAATGAAAAAGACGCATCCCAAACACAATATATCATCTTAAATAAAGATTAGGATGGTGCATGTTCTTTGTAGTCTCATATTGTTACCTTCACTACAGATAAGTAAGAATCTGTTAACCCAACATACTTCCCAACCATTGCAATTCTAACCTGCAGAAAAAAAGCAGTTATTCAATTTCAATGTACATATTTGTTAAAAGTACCTATATTGTTTAGATCCTACTAACAGATGTTGTGAGGTTGTCAAAGGTCTCAGCTCTTTTCGTCCACTCCCGTAAATCAACAGGTTTCGCGACGCTGACACAGAAAAAACATTGTGCACCTTATGTCATTCATGAAAATCCAACTTGCTCATTGTAGACCATATCAGTAACAGCCAGTAGAAATAAAGAGAGCAAAATAGTGCTGGAAAATCATAAATAAGAGAACTGCATATAAAATTTATCCAAGTTTTAAAACTATTTTTCTCATTTCAGTAGAACAGTAAGGAAATATGAGATACGAAGAGGACAATCAGATGCTAAATCTAAATTACTGCTAAAAGGGCAACAGAGAGGTAGTTTTTTACCTCATTAAATCCATTTGCTTTAGAATCGCATCATGAGCATTTTG